TGGTGAATTAAACGTGTGCTTTTAGCCAATCAGAATCGGGGAAATATTTTGATTGAATAATAATTAACAATTAATGAATGAGGCTGAGTATCTTATGAAGAATTATGGAGATCGAGGAGGGTGTTATCCGTCGAGGCCGACATCTCCACAATTCTTCATATGATACGAAAGCCGAATTCAATAATTCTTTTATTATTCATTCAAAATAATTCCTAGTTTAAAAACATAGCTAAAACATGCTTACCTCTATCGATGTTAAGTTCATCTTCGATAGTGCACGTTTACGGTTGTTCAGCTCCGCAAATATTTTCCAAATAGCAGATGTCGCCCTTCGAGTTGTCTTCTTGCTATTCCTGCCATGTTTTTAGCTATCATTTCTCCTAGTTCTTATTCTTGAAACGAGTAAAATGTCCTCCATTTCTGTTTTCAGAACCAAAACAACTCAACCTTGTCCCCGGGTCTTCTCGGTTAACAGTGCGTTAACCTGAAAGAACGCTGCGCTTTTGACGTCATCGGTTCATTAAACTCAAAAGTCTTCCAAATTTGGTCATCAGTAGCTGGTTATAGTGAATTATGCGTCTGCTTTTAGCCAATCAGAATCGGGGAAATATTTTTGAATGAATAAGAATTACTATTATTGTGTTTTTTTTCCTATTGCGCATTTGAATATATTTATATAGATATTTCCGCCTTATAAGTTTTGAAATTTAATTTTATTTTGCTAATAGGCCTCTTTCATAATAAGGGCCTATTGATATATTCTTTTATATATATGATAACTAGCCTTTCTGACCTCGTTTGAAAGTAAGAATTCTTTGTGTTTTGCACATGTTAACGAGGTCAGAAAGGCTAATTGTCATACATGTGAAAGAATATTAATAGGCCACCATTATGAAAGATGTCCATGAATCAGCAAACTTTTACTTTGCTTGTCTCAGTCTGAAATCTAAAATGTATTTGCAAACCTAAGTCCTTACAAAACTTTTACTTCTTTAGGCCTTTGCCGTTTTATCTCGGGTCAAGGAAGAAGTTGCAAGAAAAAGACAGGCCTTGCTAAACTTTTACACAGAAGCCGAAGCCCTTTTGGGTAAAATGGATGAGAAGATGTTGAGTTTACTTCAGAAGCATATTAAAAATCTCAAAGAGACAATGAGGTGGCATGAAAAGCAACTGAGGGCAACGAAATACTTTCTTCTTTTTGCAGGTAAATGGTAAAAGGTGTTCTTTCAACCTTTATCACTGATCTTATGTCCAGGATGATTTGTCCTTTCCTGCTTGCACCCAGCCCTATACTGAGTCTGATGACTCACCAATGAGAACAAAGGCAAAGGTGATTCGTGGTTCAAAGCCCACTGAATTGCAATAGGTGGTCACTTGATCAACTTTGTGTAAAAAGAGCATATAAATTTTCAGCCGTAATTATCTCAAAAGTAGCGTTTGCAGCGGCCGCCGAAAATAGACCTATTCGGCTAACTCAATGTTGTACCCAATTCAAACCGTTTGGGAATAAAACGTTTTGTTTCAGGAATTTCCACATCATTTAAATGTGAATGCCACATTATGATGCAAATACAATACACAAAGAATCTTAACCCCGGGAGATTTGAATTGGGTACAACATTGAGTTAGCCGAATAGGTCTATTAGAAAGACTTGTACGGGGAAAATCAACTCTTACCACCCAGTTTTTGTTTTTAGTGGTTTTCGATACAAATCCTTGAAAAATATATTTTCTAATTGTTATATGGTACAATCGCTTCTGATTACAAGGTGTTGCATATCTGACAGTTCTTTTCAATTGTTTTGGGGCTCAGGTATATAAAAGATGAAGAGGTTAGTTTTCATTCTCTCACTCTCGCAGTCCACCCGCTGACGTTTAGCTTAGACGCAAAGCCCACGCACCCTTGCAGTTGAACAAATGAAATTGGTTTTGTTTTTGCCTTTGGTTCTCCATTTAGATCCCCCAGTGTTTTTCCAAGTGAGAAGCATTGACTCGAACGGATCGTTGGCACGCTTTTTCAACTTTCCTGAGTCATTCAGTGCAAGGCAGGTCAATTCGTTCCAAACCTCCTTTCATGCATCGTTTGGTATGATTCTTATATTTGGGGACATACTCGGTTTCATATTTCACTCCAGTGTAGCTTTAATGTAGCGGTTTGGTAATGCATTGTAAAGGAGAAGGAATTTAAAATTCTTTTCATTGCCGAAAGAATGTACTGAACGAATGTACGAGTGTTCTGGAACGAAAGTGGTCTAAAGTTAGACGGCTGCGCGTCCTTGAGTGGAAGTACTAGAACAGCACAAGGCATAAGTAAAGAAAAGGGCTGTGTCCATGTGAATGTACTTAATGAAGCTAGTCAATAGTAAGACGACTGTGTCTAAGTGAAAGTACTAGGATGGAATACGTAAGGACGGCGGCTGCGTCTAGCGGAATGTCTTAGAAATGAGACTGGTCATGAATAAGGATTGAAGAAAGGATTTCAATCATTTCTGGGACGTTTCAACCGGAAGCAATGGAGTTACTCCATAAGGAGAGTTCTAAAATAGCTTATGTCAGTGATCATGGTTTAGGATTTTCGAGTCCGCGATGACGTGCGCAGTCCGTCTATAGATATAACGCTTTTAATTAGCCCTGGAGGAGTAAATTTTGCTACGTTTGTACGGTTATTGTACCCATGTCTCTAAACTGGGGAGGGTTTTCGACGCATTTAAGCCACTGCTACGTTTAATTTACGGCACGGAGATTTTTGACAGCTCTAGTTTGGTTATTTTCCGTGAGGCTGGGTTATAGGGTCCAAGGATTAACCTTCAGGTAATAGATTGAGCTCTTGGGAAGTGTACATGCCAAATTCTATGGTGTCGTCAACTTCTTAGCGACTTTGTAACTGGTGGCCTGGTGGTTAAGTGACATTTAGATTATATTTATATTGATGGCCCTTTCATAGTTGTCTATGATGTTCCGATACTCGTTTCAGTTTAAATGTTGCTTACAACTGAGTCGTGTGATGTGACCTGATTACACAAGTGTTATTGGGATGAATCTCTTATCCCGAATAAACTTTTCTAGCTGAACTAGCCTTGACAAAACGAACAAACGTCGGATCCAGCATTGTTTCCACGATATAGAGATATATCTATACCTCGACGTACTCAGTAGTTTTCTGTTGTAACCAATATTTGGCCAGTTAGCCCTTCTTTCGAATCGTAAACACACCAGCGTCTTTGCGGAGTGTAACTAAAGCGTTGAGGTTAAATTCGCTTGTGGCATTGTCTCGGGCAGCTGTATACATAAATTGCTACTTCGAGAATCTCGGGAAATTATCCATTCAGTTTGCCAGCAGTACTGTAAAAGTGTACCAGATCTCCTAGATCCTTCCGGAAAAGAACGCCCTTACTCAGGGCTTTTTCTGCACAAACGAAAGAAACAGCTGAATTGCATGGCCATGAGTTATTAAAATTATGTGAATATTTAAAGCCTATTTAACCTTATTTTTTAAAATTTTGGGGCTTTTTTCTCATCACCGTTACAATAGTTATTGAGTATATGCCCAACAACGTACCATCTATTAAAGAACAGTTCATTATTTTAGAGGCATTGCATTTAATCCGGAGTTCGTTTGATACCCTTCTCAGGCCTAGGCCAAACGTCCAACTTTTCATGATACGAACCAAACTGAGGCCCAGGCCAAACGTCGAACTTTTCATTTAACGAACCAAGCTCTAATTTGGGTTGACCTAAATTAAGTTAAGATCGTCTGTTAAGTTAGACTTCGAACTTAGGACAAGTCGAACCATTTAACTGAATCAGACAAAAAACGCAGATGATGTAATTATCTTTTCCCGAACGATGCTAAATATATTTATCGTACAAATTTTAAAATTAGTTTAGTTCGACGTTTGGCCCGGGCCTCAGTTCTTTGTTTGTAAACATTACCGCTATATTAAGTAAGGGAAACATGGTACTTTAGGTCGCAGGGTTTTTCCTAGTCGCTGTGGGGCCAAACCACCCCCCCCAAAGGAATTATCAAAGCGTGGAAATTTTGGTCAATTTAGAATAACTTTGTTAGCTTTAACTCTTTCCTTACCAAACTTGGCCTGAAAATACAAAACATCAGGCCAATCAAAATGGCTTATAGGATGATACCAAATGTCAAATTATGACTTCACATTTGCTGACGTCATTCATACATAACTTTTAAACTTTCGAATCTCCCAATTTATTATACCGTTTTTGATAGAAATTTTCAAGGAAAGTTGAAAGCTGAAACATTTTCCCCATATCTCAAATATTAGCTGAGATATGACGTTTTCAATTTGGATAAATTCGTAGCACAAAAACTGGGTACCCTCCTTGTTGCGTTTCGACGAAGGAGAACGCATACTATTAGAGTCTTTTTGCGTACCGTACATGAAGTAGTAATAACCGTTCTTTCACGGTTTGGACGCCATCTTGGACCGGCCTGGCAGGCTTTGCCTCGATCCCATGTGTTCAGTTTTTCTCGCCCGGGACCTGTTATCTATTTTGTGTCACTCGTTCACAGATGTTGGCGATTTTCTGTTTACCACAGGTTTGTTCACAGTTTTTCCCGCAGTTTTCAATTAAGTTTTTTTATCATAGGAAAATTTCCATTCTAAGATAATCGGATATGTAGATATTATGTTAACAAGATCAGCTTAGATCGACAATATTTAATTCTATTACAAATTACATCTTTTCGCTTTTAAAGCTATTTACAGCGTTGTATTTGCTTTTATTTCTCACCGTTTTTGAAAAATAGACAAGAAACTGAACAGTGAAACGTTGACCTTTTCATCTCACTAATTCTGGGTGCGTTGTATTTTGAAAACAGTGCTAAGTAGGTGAGTCGTGTTAGCCTAGTGTCACGTACACAACAAATGTTTAAAGTGATACGCGAAGCTTAAACTTTTCAGCTAACTTTAATTTTCTGTATCCCAATTTTTAGCCAATTTTATTGATCATCCTATAGTGCAAAAGAATAT